ATAAACTTATTTAAGAAAAAAAAGTTCTCACACTAACAATTATAGCTTTCTGCTACCACTCCATAAAGAACTGAGTTTTACTAAAAATCATTTAAAATAAACAAACTTACTTTAAAAATCATTTAAAATAAACTTACTTTAAAAATAAATAAAAAGTGGAAATTTGGAAATCATAATTATAAACCTCAAATAAATTTTAAAACTTTAAAACTTTAAAACTCAAATAAACCTCAAGTAATTTTAAGAATTACTATCCGAAGAGCATAATACTGTATGTAAAGGGACAATAAAAATTACTACACATTTTCTTGACAAGATATCATGATGGTCAAAGTTACATACCCTCTCAAGGATTGCTGATAACTGCCAATACCCTCTATCCAATCCTTGTCCTACTGTACCTGTCTAGTTGTTGACATTAAAAGATCTCTTTGCCTTCTGTAATATTAATCTTTCACATCTCTCTTTCTATCTTCCAGATATGCCTTATCAATCTTTGCTGAAGCTTCCTCCTCCCCTCTGAAACCACCTTTATCAGGTAATTTCATCCATTCCAGCACAAGTTCGAGTATAACCTAATGCTACTAGTAACTCTTACATCTACATCTCCAGCTCTTCTCTTTTCCAAGCTTCAGATCTATATTTCCAGCTGTCAACCAAAATGTCCATTAAGATATTCCCAAAGTAATACATATTTAACTTGTTTGAAATCAAAGTCATCCTTTCCTCTTCTAACCCCTCTTCTCAAAATGGAATGCTCCTACTGTGTTCCTTATCTCAATTAATGACAGCCACAGAGACAAGACTTTTTTTTTTATTATTAAATCATAGCTGTGTACATTAATGCAATCATGGGGTACAGTGTGGTGTTTTCATATACAATTTGAAATATTTTCATCAAACTGGTTAGTGTAGCCACAAGACCATTTTTAACTCTCCCTTTACTCACACTCCATCTAATCCCTTGGTCCCTAAGTTCTATTTGAAACCCCTGAAGTACATTTCCTCCTCTGTATTTCCACTGCCACTTCCCTACTTACCTCATCTGATAATAGTCTTCCTTATCCATCACCATGCCTCTAATTTCTCCCTATTTTAAATCATCAACTTCCTGTTGCCTACAACAGTGTCATTCAAACTACAAACTCAATGTATATAGATTACATGAAGTATACTATACAATATACGTTGTATGTAAGCATACATACATGCATGTATATGTAGTTATATATAGTATTTTCAAAAGGTTCAAAACCGGTGTCTACAGGATAAAGCCCAAATTTCTTAACTTTTGGAATGTGGAATAGTTTCAAGGGTTCATTCATGTCAGCTTGGTCCCAATTTATATTCTATATTCCCACCTTTACTTTCTATCACTCTCCTAAGTCATTTATATACTCTAGCAGATATACCACAAACCTAAAATTCACTTTTCCCCCTCTGCTGTTGCCAACCCCTGAATATCTTGAAACTTTTCTTCCTTTTCCTACTCTGTTAGTCTCTGTTAATCCCCTACCAAATAAAATTAGCTATTCTTCATTCAATACTTCAAGTATTTTGCCTCTCTGATAGCATGGAAACAACCTGAGTCTTATTCATCTTAAAAGTCTCAGCCTTTCTAAGTCACACAGAAGTGTTGAACAATGTTTAACTGAATTAAAGATGGAGCTTCGGTGTGATCCATAATTAAGAGTTTGCTAAAAACAGAAGAGTCTGTATAAAAGCAAAGAAGTAGTGAGAAGAAGAAAGACATCTAAAAAAAAATACTATTAAAATATCTATTACTTGACTTTTAACAAGTTGAATAGTAATCAAGAGAGTCAAAATAACAGACACAGATGAGGATTAAAAACTAAGAAAATGCCTTTTGTGAGAGAGAACAAGTATAGGGCATTACATAGCTGACAAAAGTTAACATATCTAACGAATAATAGTGCTTAAGAATAAAAAGTTAGAACTCCAACCAAAAGAAAAATGGGCTCGGCGCCTATAGCTCAACCGGCTAAGGCGCCAGCCACGTGCACCTAGGGTGGCGGGTTCGAATCCCCAGCCCGGACCCGCCAAACAACAATGACGGCTGCAACCAAAAAATGGCCAGGCGTTGTGGCAGGCGCCTG